TCCCTACTTTCAGTTCCTCCCCTAAACATCCCATAGGAAGCCTTGTGCAACAGCGAGCAGCTCCTCCCTTGCATCCCACAGCATGTCCAATACCCGCAGGCAGTGTTGCCCCCTCAGCCCAAAAGGTGGGAGCTGCTCCCGCTGCCAGGTGTCACCCCCGGACATGGCCAGCCCCGGGAGGTGTCAGGCAAGGTGCTGCTCACAGTCCCTGCCTGCTTCTGTTCCTCTTCTCCTCTGCGTGTGGGGGAATGTGGTTTATATCACGTACCCTAACGTAGTCCACAGGCCCTTCTTGCAGGATGTGGGAGGAGGCAGAACATGGTTCTTATCAGGCACAAGAACACACCAAGTCTGAAAAACTCAGCAATATGCAGAAACTACACCAGAATTGTGCTTGTGTTTAGGACAGATCAGAAGCCATGTGTATGGTGCATTAATAAATATTCACAGTTTTAGCTGGCATCAGGTACTTTTTATTCATTCTAACCAAATTGATGCTGACCTTCAGGTTATACTTCCCTTTAGGGACCTTTTTAGTTTAAAGTCAAGTTTGCCATTATAGAATTTTGCTTTTTTGAGTTACCCTTTGGGAAAAAAACCCAACCAAACAAAAAAAACCAAACAACCAAAACAAAACCACACACAACAAAACCCAAATCCAAAATTAATTAAACAGAAAAATAAAAAGAAATGCACATTGGGAAACAAAAAATACCTTTGCAAAATGACAAGATACCTGAACGGATATTGTGGACATTCCCAAATTTTAAAATTAAAATATACACTTTTGGGTAATGACCATACATGAAAACCAAGGGAATAGGTTTCAGTTATGGAAGAGATTCTGACACAGCAGTTAAGAGTGCAACTCTTGTGGAGTTAACTATTATGAGCTAAATTAGAAGTAGGATGAATCATTTTCCAGCCATGTAAATCACTAAAGTTTGTTAAATTGTTCTATCAATAACTGAGGTAAGCCAACCATTTAATGAATTATATAATGTGTTATTTTCCTATGGATGTTAATCTCATAGTTTTTACTGTTGTTGAAAGTCCACTTGTATTTTTTTTGCAAATACTTCTAAAATGATGAATAATCTTCACTTAAGAGACTAAAAATACATGCCAGCTATTATCGTATATGAAATCTGACAGCAGTTGAAGTGTTGGTATCTGAACTTACTTGACAGCTTCTTTGAATAACTTTTACTAGGTATTCTGTATAGGATTTCATATTTTTAGATTTGTTCAATTTGTTCAATAAGTAAGTCATGTTAAAGGGAAAGCAAAAATGTTCTAGAATGAATGACAACAGCTTTTCTTGCGATCACTTTTCATTAGAAGCCAAACCCCATGATCAAAACTTTACTTACATATTCATGCAAGGACCAGTTCTGAATTCTGTGGAGCAAATAAAGCTCAGTAGAAATTTTAGGTGCTGCAGTGGAACAAGACCCCAGTGTTTCCTACACTTGCAATTTTTCCATTACAAATGCAGTTTATTTGCAAAAAGTTGGCACCGACTGTAGGCAGAGCAGGCCAGATCTTCACCTACCTACGCAGGCAGTGATACATAAGTCCTGCTAGTTTGTCGTGGCTGTGGATCTTATCCGGAGGTCTCTGCTCAGCACTGTATTTTGTGCACACCAGCACCAGGGAGCTGTATGGCGTTACCAATCTGATTTCTTAGCACGAGGCACCACTTTGGCCTTGGTTCGAAGAGACCTGCAGGAAGCTGTGACCTGGCCCGAGGGACCTGCTTTTCCGCTGGTTCTAGCACAACTTCCATGCAGGATTTCCAAATGTAGCAGCTTTTTTGTCCTGAATGTCTGGTTGGTGAGTTTAGTATATCAGTTATTTGCAAAATCTGTGAGTAATTTGGCCCACAAATTGTCATTGCAGCTGTTGAGAAATTCTTTTACCGGTTTTTCAGTAACACAGCTGGAGAGCTGATTTTTTAAATACTAGGAGGTAGGCAATCAGGTGAGGAACACAGGTACGACTATACTGGTATGACATACCACAACGCAGAGTATGTACAGCATTTAAAGTTGAAATTAAGACCTGTTAAGGCAGAGAACCTATCTGAAGATGTAGGATAGGGAAGCAGCTCAGTGGTCCATCCATCCAGGAGTGGCTGGCAAAGGAAGGTGAGTTAGTGCTGGGCATCTTTCATTCCCAGCATTTATACTGGACCCGGAACGGTGCCATGGGCTGCTGTGTCCCCACCAAATGTAAAGGGCTCTGCAAAAAGAAGAAAATCAGTAGAAACATTTAAGTTAGTTCAGTTAATAGAATCATCATCGTGCTTTAATATTAAGATATAAACATATTCTTGGAGCTTTGGTCTTACAGACCCAAGACCAAATACTGAGAGTGTTTCTTGGCTTTGCTGAAGCCATTGAGTAGGGCCTTCATGATTACTTTTTATTCCACTCACTCTGACACAGGATGACACATGAGATCTTAAGAAACTAATGGCTTTGAATATTTTCACCAGCGTAATTGCTGGTGGGTGCGGACCCAAGTTACAAGCAACTCCAGTGAGAGCTGGCATGGCAATACACCATCAGTCAGGAAGAGGCAACCTTCCCCCCTGTTCTGGGTGGGCTTCCTACCACTACTTGAGATCAACATCTCACGTTCTTCAAGGAGAGCAGAGGAATTAAGTTCTCCCAGCTGCCAAATTCCAGCCATCATACAAAGTCCTTGCCACTCTAAACTTCTCCCTATTCTCCTTGGGAGTTTAGCTATAGGGCATGTGTGTCACGTTTAGGTTGTGACAGACCAACATGCTGATTTTGCAGCAGTCCGTGTTTGTAAGGAACAATGATTTTTGAAAAGTGGAAAGGACACAGTGCAAATGAAAAAGGAAATTACTGCTGAGAGTGGAAACTGTGCCACTCTCCCTTAATGGTAAAACCTTTCTGTGTCACCATTGCTCCTTCAGTTTTACCCTAATCATTGCTCTTTCACCACAGAATATGTAGTGGAAGGGCACTGCCAGTGCTGCATCTGACTTCATATCCTTAAAGTATTAGTAATCTAGTTCCTTATTCATTGTTTTTGTGAGTGGCAGAAAGCAATTATAAAATCTCTTGTAATGTTTAAGCAATGAGGAGACAAAATACTCCTGGAGGCACTTTCTTGTATAGACAGTGCCGCCCCACTAACATTGCTGGAGTTACTCTGGGTTTTCTGAGCTAAAATGAAAATCGAGTTCTTCATTACATGTTTTATTAACACTCCTCTCAAAATTTTGCTTCATTATACATAACGACAGTTGAGCATGGCTGTTCAGCTGAGTGTGATGAATGAAGAAGATAAAGATGTGGAACGCTATATAAATGCATGGAGCTTTTACCTCCTTTGGTACTGCATCCAAAAGCACAAATTCATATTTGTATAGGAATAGCACAACAAACAACTGGATTTCCATGATAGCAAACCACCTGCAAGAAAAAGGAGGAAAATGTTGTCCGTCCAGCCTGACCATCACACGTCTGTTATCATCAGATAAAAAAACAGGGTGTCTTTGACACATTTCACATTCCAATGCTTTTGTTCTGTCTCAAAGTTTATCTTCAGTAGGAAAATCTGCTGTGGCTTTGTTCAGCTTCATTACCCGGCAAAGAACATGAATGTAGCGGCTGCTCCTTCTTTCCGGTGAAACTTTAGACTGACAGTATCCCTCTGACACCCTATTTTAAAACAGCCCCTTATCATTACGGTTTTTTCCACTGTGTAAACATTTATGTTCTTCTAACGCTTGCTGACTTGAAATAACTTCATAGGAGTGAGAAGACAGTCAAATATAGAAAAGGCTATATGACTAATTGTGCTATATAAAGTTATATAATACAGCTGGGAGCCTGATGACATCAGAGTAGCTGTGACAGCGGGAGTTATTATTTAATGCGTCAGCATTAGAATGCAGTATGAGACCCAAGGGCATGATTTTTTTTTTCTGTAACACTCTCAGAAAGGTCTTTCTTAGTCAGTCCAGAGAAGATTTCAGATAACTGCAGATGAACTCTTCTAGGCTGTTATTGTTTAATGTTGATATGTACAAGAGCTTTTTGCATTTGGGCACTAGCATGCACCTATGCTAGGTCATGGGATTACTCACTTGCAGAATTTAGATGTAAGTCTTAAACACCTAGTTAAAATAGTAATACTACCTTGCTCTCCTACACAGTTTATTTTCCATTATCTGAGAGATGCTGGAAAACTTGGCTAAATCAGCTATTGGGGAATTCACTGGGGAGAAGGCCACATGACTGCCATGGCGTCAGCCTGGATTTGGCCTGGCAGGTGTGAAGAGGAAGCTAATAAGCCCCATGAGACCCAAGCTAAAACTCCTGCAGAGCCATCCAGATCTGAGCCACCCTGTGCTCTGGAATGGGAGGATGCTTGTTTGTTCTGGTGTAGCTTCAGATCCAAATTATCTCTGTGATTTCACATTGGAATTACCTTGAGATAGGGAGCTTTAGGTGACCTTGAGCTCAGGGGGGAATGCAGTGCAGAGATATTTCAATGGAAATTATCTCAGGTCACGCAGAACTTGCTAGCCCAAACTCCGTGTTGGCGGCACTGTACAAAGGTGGGCTCCGTACAGTCACTGCGCTATTTGCACAGAGTGGCCCTGGACCCCTGGTGCTCGAGGTCCTGCCTCTGAGCCATCCTCACTGGTTTGGCACGGATGTACCACAATGGGGACAAATGCCAAAATGCCTCTAGATGGCCCTGAAAGTGGAAGCGCTGCCTTTACAAGAGGGCTGTCCTTCAAACACAAGCACAGCCGGATGTGGGTGACCAGCTGTGACACCTCTGTACCCGCAGTGGGGTTCATCTGCAATCTGTCCAAGCGGCAATGGATATAACCAATAACTGACTGCAGCACTTCCCACCGTAAAATCTCAAGAGTGCTTTTCCAAACAGGCTGCTGCTGTTATTCTGCTCTGCAAACAGAGATGCTGAGGCACACGGATGATAAGCAATGCACACGTCCGAGGGTGGGCAGAGGGACAGTCTGGAAGTGAAAGGCAGGACTGCAGAGTTGCAGCGCGTCCCTCCCTCCCACAGCACGTTGTGCTGCGCAGAAATCATGCACTTTCTTGTAGCTAAATGCCCCTGAGTTCCCACCTGTCTTTCATATTCACGACTGAGTCCTAGAGCGGTTTTCCTGTAAAAACTCTGAATCACTGATGCCTTCCCATTTTATTTACTGACAAGTGGGTTTGACAAAGATATGCCTTCTGAAATCTTGCCCCCAGTGCACTGCTGCGTACTGGTGTTATCCTGTAACCTAGGAGCCCAGCTGTGGGTTGAGGTCCTGCAGTAAATGGAGTCCGAGAATGAAATCACGGCCGTTGTGCTGAAGGGTTTACAATGTCAGCATAAGGCAGGAGACAACAGATGGAGCCATGCAAGATACGCACAGTCGCACAGGCAATAGTCACCTGGTTAGACAAAAGTAGCTTCACTGCCATCAAATTTTTCCTCTAGGTAAAAAAGATGGCACAGAAGTGGCTGTGTGGGAGCTCTTCCCATGTCAGTTTGCTAGAATATTTGACAAGTAAGTTATTTTCTAGCTTTCAGTTTGATTAAATTAGTTTTAATTGCATGATGAACTTTTTTAATGGAGAAATTACATGTTTAATACATTTCATTTATAAATCCCAGTACTGAATTAAATCAAAACACATCTTAAACTTGAAATATCATTGTTTCATTCAGTAGTACCAAGGAAATCTGCAAACTAGGATCTAGATACATCCCTTGATTTAATGTCCTTTCTTCCAAGACCACCACATTATTCTTTTGGAACTATTGCTGAAAAGCATGAAGGTGTGTGTTACCATGTGGACTGCCAAAGGGTTTGGAAGGACTTTATGTCAGTCAGCAAGAAAAAGATTCTCCATCCATTTCTACGTAGAAATGTTATCATTTCCTTTCTAACCACAAACTTATTTTAAATGTATTATCAGAGCCCAGAAAACAGCCCAAACAAATAGGTCAGTACGTATAAACAAGCAGCTTTCAGAAACATCGTTTTGCAGCTTGTCCCATACCTGTGGATGCCTCTTGTGAATTCTGCTGTCGCCCTTGCTGGGAATGAGGCTGTGCTCATATTTAGCTCAGGGAAATGGTACAAGCCATGGAGGCACAGCAGTGAGTGAGCACTTTTCTCTGGCAAGCCTAAATGGTGAATGCAGTTTTGTTCATTTTGTTTATGTCTGTAATGCTTTCACAAAGTTTATCTGACACTCATATCCAGCCTGCTATAGGGTGCAGACTCAAGAATGCAGATCCTCTGCAACACCCTCTAGATTCCTTACTCCACATGGGATTCTCGAGTTAAACTGACCAGTTTTAAGGATTTTCCGTTCTTTGCTTCCTAGAGGAGACCAGGATTGAAGGCAGGGAATTGAGCATAGAGATGTTTGAACACAGAAACAAGGAGCAGCTGGCTCCCTGGGACTTGTTCCAGGAAGAGGGACAGCAGAGAAAACAGCAGAAGGAATGCAGGAAGCATTGAGGCTGGCATTGCTGGAGGAGTGAAGAGAGACAGGATTTGCAATTTAAGCCACCATACAATTGCGGGGGCCTTAATGCGAAGACAAGATTCAGAGAAGAGCCAGTTAAGACATCTGAAGGTTAGCAAAGATGACAGTGGCATCACAGAGTATGGGAAGAGAGTTTCAGACCAGAGAAATGTTCTTTAGGTTAGTTTAGAACTGGTTCATGGCAACCTAAATGCCTATGTCTGTAAACTGGCATGTTTGTAAGTGGAACAACTCTCCCTTGATGAGAAGATGCCTCAGCAGCAGCAGAGCTGGGCTGACTTTCCTCCCTGGGGGATATCCCTTGATACAGTAGTCTGCCTTTACATCGTGACTTAACCTGTCTTTTCCAGGAATGAAACCACTTCAAATCAGTTTAAACAAGGTCCAGATAATACTGAACATTAGGGGACTGACAAAGAGCAAAGCAATGAAAATGCTTTATCTCCAAGTGTAAGAGGAGCCCAGTTCAAGAGAGTTGTTCTCTGCAGGGTTTGGGAATAAATAAACCCCAGCTGTTTCACTGACCTTCCTGGACACTGATGCTTCCCTCCTCCGAATGCCACAAAGCTGTCCAAGAAAGCATTCTTCTCTAAATTTGCCTCTTTCCAACGATCCTGTGGGAAGAATTTTTTTTTTCCAAATCAGCCTTATATAAATAAAGCTTAACTTTATTTCTCCGAGCTAAAAATGACCTTGGACAGCTAATCCTCAATGCAGAATTGCACTAGTGCCATTTTTTTGCATTCAACCTGTTAGAGTCTGGATTCAAAAGTCAGCACCGACTCAGGGAAAGAAATGAGGATCCCATTTGAAATGTACTTAGGTGCCTCAAAATGCTGGAGAGGTTTTCAAAATCACCCCTAAAGCCATCTTCCTTTACCTCCCCATTTTTGTAAATCCTGCGTCTTGAGCTCTCAAAATCCCTATAAAAATACGACCTTCTCCATTTAAATATACGCACATTCCAAGCAAATGTTCAACCAGTACCTTCCCTCAGACACAAAATCGTATCACAGCACACAGACGGCTCACGCACACCTTGCACACAAACTATTTCTAAGATGCTGCGCACAGACAAATGCAAGGTATATCAGCTGTCACATGAGAGAAAGGCAAGGACTGCGCAGCCCCGTTCTCAGGCGCAAGCCGGCGTGTGAGAAAATGAACTCTTCTCCAAAAAAACAGCCTGTCTGTACCCAGAGGGCTCCTTGCTCCATCCTGAGCTTTCAGAGAAAAGGAACAACACAAGGAACAAGGCAATTTGGGCTAAAGTTTGGGTGGGTGACACTGACAGAAGTAAATCTCTTGAATTTGGGTGACAAACTATACCAGCCTCCAGAAACTCAGTGCAACTCTACCAAGGCCTTCAAGTGACACTCTGTCAAGTTTACAGTGCCTAACTCCCCTAATGAAGGTGTCTTAGAGAAGATGTAATCTTGTGTTTGTTTATTTTGGATTTTTTCCAGCTCGGGCTGTTTAGAGGTTTCTGAAGAAGAAACCTGTTAGCATCAAAATCTAATAAAAGCAAGGAAAAAAAAAACCTCAGCAGTGATGAAGCAAGGCGATACCATTTGGAATGGCAGTGTCCAAGGGGTACTCATCTATTCCTCATGGAAAAAGGGTGAGTTTCTAAAAAAACAAGCTAGCTTACTTTTTAGGAAAAAACTTACTAAAGAAATAAGCTGCTGCGTCAAGGTTTCTGCTTAGGGTTTCAAACAGGCAGGAATTGCTATGAGAGATTTCAGATTGGTGAAGAGTTTGCTAAAAGGGGAGTTTTGTTAAAATTACTCCTTGTAATAGAAATTAATTTCTATAAAAAAGGCAAACCGTTCTATAGAGGGTGGTGCTAAAAAGAGCAAGTTACAAGCCTGCCCACACAGCCACCTGGAGCGAAATAATAATGAAGAAATTCTAGATGAGCTACTGAATTAGCAGAGCTAATACCTACCAGAAATCATCTGACTGGAAAGACCGATGAGCCTGTGTAAATATGTGGAGATGAGCTACAGACAGATGCCAGGGAGAGGAGAGTACTTGGAATTAGGTTCAACAGCACAATCAGTGGGGTCTTTCCACGGTGGGCTTTGAATCAAGATCAAAGTGATATAAAGTAGTACCATATTATTTGGAATATATAACTGAACTTTAAAGTCTTGCTTATTCCTACAGGCTCCTCCTTTTTGTGTACATCTTCTCTGTATATAAGGCCATCCTCCGGACGATGGGGAATACCCAACTTTAAGCCAATTTGTCCATGTGCTTTTGTTCTGAAATAAGCGAAGAGGAGAAAAGACAGCAAAATACCCATGCTAAGAGTGACAACTTACAGGTTTGAACATTTCTGGGTCAGGAAAATATTTTGGATTCCTGTGCAACCAATACGGCGACAACATCAGCATGTCACCTGCAGGGACGGTGAAATTCTGAAAAGGAGAAAAATCTCTAAGAAAAGAGAAAATTGTGGGTTCAACTCACAAAACAGCCCCTCCTTAGTACTTCTCTTCCATCAGCAGAAGGTCCTAACAGAGGACAAGTGAGGGTGGTGAGGCCACAGTGGGCTTATTACATGTTTGAAGCTTCTTGCTGTTGCCTTTTTTCCCGTAAGAAAGACCTAAACAGTGGAGAATGTAGAAAGACTATTTTTGTTCTCATTTTGTTTTTCAGGTATAGAAATAATAGAAACATTATTTCCATCTTTCCCACTTCTTCATGTACCATGTGAATGATACTTTTTTCTAAATCTTTTGTTAAGGACTTCCTTCAAAACCCAAAGAAATTCATAGAAAGATTTATATGACAATAGACCTTTATGGGACTTTAGTAATTTCTTAAATGGGCATGAGTGCTGTTCCTTGGGACAGAGTGGTTTTCTCCCAAACATTTTTTTGTTAGACTTCTGAACACTGGCACTTCCCCTCTAAATGGCACTGAAGAGAACAAACAGAAAAAATGCAATTTTATCAGTTACTGAATCGTGGTGCCTTTTACTCTATTTGTTGTGTCTGATTGCTATTTCATATACCACCAACACAGTATCTCCAGCTCAATGCAATTTAATTTAAATTCAATTCAAAAATGAAGGTAAGACTATGAGCAACAGAAGTGAAACCACACTTGAATTAATCAAGATTAATACAATGATAATGAATAAATCTGTTAAACTAAACAGAAGTTATATGTGAGATTGTGAAATATCTCTACTATTTTAATTTTATCTAGATCTATTGGGAGGCCATTTTCCAGACAAATCATACACCATCCTTTTGGGGAAAAAAAAAGAAAAAGAAAAAAAAAACCTCACCTGAATTCTGATTGGGTTTACTACTTTCTTGGTGATTGCACCTGGTGACCTCAGCCGTATGGCTTCCAAAATGCACCATTTAATAAAAGGGAGCTTCTTAAGGTCCTCTTCAGAGACTTCTATTTTATCTCTACCTGTTGTGGCATGAGAAAGAAGATGCCATGTAAAAAATAGATTTCACACTTGTTTTGATACATGCTGATATGTCTTGCTTTAGACCCTCTGATAGAAGGTCTATCTCAAGACTTTAAGGTCTACCTATCTATCTCAAGACTTTGAGGTCTACCTCAAGACTTTAAGACCTTGTTTACACCCAGAAATTTTCTTTATATTTCAAAGTAAATAAACAGACCAAAATCAGTACAATTTAAGAAAAGCCACTGAAGATAATAACTCTAAGGCAGCTGTGGATATGGCATTTTTCAGAAGAGGCCAAACAAAGGCCATCTTGGAAGTTAGGAGTCCCTGTACTTTTTCAGGACTTTGGTAGGACACTGCATGGGAATCTCAGGGACTGAAGGCACCAAGATGGGGAGTCAAGGTTGGGCTCTTGGGCTGTGTTAAGACTACCAGATAAAACAGGGCCAGGAGAAAGGCTTAAGCACTGGTTCGTGATTATCCTTACTGGTTAATTATTGACATGTTCCTTGACGTGGTTTTGACCCATGTCAACTAAGACTCTTCCAAGAAAGTCTAAGCATTGTTCAGGGGACTGCAGATGGGAGTGACTGCTCCCAGTAG